CCCCGGCCCTGCCCGCGGCCCCTCCCGCCTCCATGGCGGCGGCGGCGGCCTCCCGCCGCGGCGGAGCTGCTAGGCCGCGGGCCGCCCCCGCCCGGTGGTCAGGCGCCGGGATCCCCGCCGGGCCTCCTCGGGCAGCGCCGTGGGGGTGCTCTCGGGGGATCTCCGCGGGCCGAGGCGGAGCCAGCCGCTTCCGTACGCCTCTGCGGCCTCCTTTCCGCCCTGCTGCAAGAGGTCATGTGCCTGTTACACTTGTCATTATTCACGTAATTGCGTTATGCACGTACGGGGGGGAAAAGACACTCCTTTACGGCCTGCGATTGCCCGCGGGATTCCTCCTGTCAAACCCACATTTTTCTCTAGGACCCGTTTGTTCCAGGGCGGTGTAACTAACCTCTGCAGTTCTGGCTAACCTCCGGGGCTGCTGGGGAGGTTTAGGATGGATTTTGGGAACAATTTCTTCACGGAAAGGGCTGGGAAGCCTTGGCAGAGGCTGCCCAGGGCAGTGGTGGAGTCCCCATCCCTGGAGGGATTTCAAAGCTGGGCAGAGGTGGTGCTGAGGGACATGGGTCAGTGGGGGGTTTGGGCAGTGCTGGGTTGGTGGTTGGACTCCATGATCTGAAAGGTCCCTTCCAACATAGAGGAGTCTAACTCTAGGCAGTTTATGGATGCTTGGCCATAAAACTAGAATTTTTACATAAATAAGCGTTCCTTGCAAAGATTTCTATGCAAAATGTGCAGGTAATCACTAATATATAAATGATATTCATAATGATGATAAATGATACTAAATAATAAATATTATGTTAGACGATAATGTTGATTTTGGCCATGTCAGTTTGATTTCTTTTACAGAACCCAATGTCATTATATGTTGATCTTTTGCATAAGCATTATGTACATTAATTTTTCTTTTTGCCATGATGAGCAAGGATTGTTTGAGGAAAAATCAAACAAGAACACGCTAAATTATTTTTAATATCCAAGACTATTTGGATTTTAATTTTTTTTTCATTTTAGGGGAAAAAACCCCACAACCTATTACAAAGCATTCATTTTTATCATAATTGAATCTTCAATCCTTGCTAATGCATAACCAGGAAGATTCACCCATCCTGCTAGCTGGTTATATGTGTGGATTCAGAACCAGTATTTCTGGTGATCTTGCAGTTTCTTTCTTTGGGTTGGATTTGGGCAGTTTCGTGTTAGAAATGGGAGGAAATGGAATGCATGTGTAACTGAAACTGAGGGACAGTTCCAGACAGGAGAGTTGTGGTGTTAATAGCAGGGATAACTGGCCTTAAGTGGCAGAACCATTAATGCTTGGCAGCCAGCTGAGCAAATCACCTCTGAATAGATGCAGGTATTTGTTGTGCTGCTCTGTGTTTCAGTATTTTTATTACAAATGAACTCTGTTTCTGTAACTTTGTAGTTTTAGACATATTAACTAAGCTGTTAAAAGATTACTTTTGTGGTTCAGAATGAAGTGCCCCACACAAAAAAAAATATTCTGATGTTGAATGGCATGGTAATGGGCAAGATCTTTTGCCTTGTCTGATAAATGCTAATGAACATTATACCAGGACTCTACCAGAATGCCAGGCTTACGTGCAGTTGCCACTGGTAGCTGGTCTGCTGAGAAACGAATGACAATTTCTGTTCCCAAGGGAAGCATATGGATTGGTTCTTTTTTTGGCTGGTGTCTTGGTTTTTTTGGGGGGGGAGGTTAACTCTGTTTCTTCCCACCCACTGAACATGGTGATGTTGAAGAATACCTCTTGCATGGACAATCCTATTCACTCCAGCCTGGTTCTAGCTTGATTTTTACATAATAACAATGCCAGTAATAACGTTTGTGTAGGTGGCAGAAATATCCCTTAAAAAAACCCAGATTTAATATTTAAGGTGCTGGTTGCAATATGAGTGGACTTTGTTGGAGCGAGTAGTTGGAGGTTGTGATAGGAAGGTTAGATTTCTGCTGTATTTCAGAACCTGTTCATCAGAGTTGGTACGTTGTTCAGACCCCCACCCTGGTAACTCCTGATGTATCTCAGCATTCCTTGGCACCATCTCTGGGAGAGATTCACTACATTTTTCGATCTGTGGTGAATTAGAATAATTATGGCCTTTTTTTGGTAACTGTTGAGAACATCCTGTTCCTGATGAATTTCACTCAGCCACAGCTTGGATTTTAGAGAGACTGGAAATACATTTTTAAAAACGAAATGCGGTGACGTGCATTAATTCTCAGGCTGCATTAGGCATAGCCTTACCTATTTTCAGTTGTTCCTATAGACTGAGCTAGCTGTGCAGTTTAGTGCAGGGTGGTACTTAAGTAAATAAGCAGTATCTGCTCTGTTTCATGTTCCCCTGTTATCACAGACATTTTAAGAAGGTTTGAAAGTATTGTATTGCATTTACGTAACAAAGAGTTTATTTTTATTTTTTTTTGCAACTTAGATTAGTATACCATTCAGGTATGCCATAACTCCTTGATTTACTTTTCTTTAAAATTTTGCTGCTGTAATTTTGTTAAACACCGTCTGCTAATGCTGCTTTGGTTTTTATGGTTTTATGCAAATGCCTCAAGAAAAGGCACCATTTTGGCAAGTGACTGTGTATTCCTAGATACAAAAGAGCTAATAGTTTCAGGTTTTCTATCTCTGTGCCATTTATTGCTACAATGTTACTTTCCAGTTATTAAATGAGCAAGATGTTGGCTGAAGTGAATGTTCCTAATTTTAATATTTTACAACTGCAGTACAACTCCAGTCTGATTTTTAACATCAGGTTAGATTCAAAGTATATTAAAGAGTGATCTGAGGGACGTTTAGGGCAGCAGTTGAGTTTGTGTAACTGGTGTGTTGGGCTGACCCCGCGCTCAGCGGTGCTGAAGGTTAGATAGGGTTTTTTTTGGCATTTGCACTAACAAAAATAGATCTTGGACGTCTTTCTTGTTGCTGCTGAAGTCGTTCTCCTGAATTCTGACAACTCCCTGCGCTTTCACTGCATAAAGACTCGATCAACCCAGTTATTTTGGCAGTGGGATGCATTTTGAAGAGCTATTCTTCTAATTGTTTCAGGGAATCTAGTTAGTAAAGGTGGATCTTTGTCATGCAGAATTAATATTTTTCAGAGCTACCTCTTTAGGTTAATTTGTACCCCTGGTCCTTGCGGAGCTGAACAGCACATGTACCCTGGACTTGGTCAGGAACTTGGGCTTTAGGACTTGCTACTACTTTCAGTACCTGCCCTGGGCCTTCTGGAGGCAGCTTTTAACTTGTCTGCTGCACAGCTGTGTCAGCGTAACAATTTTTAATGCTGTCTTTTAGTTTATACATCTGATTAAACCCATTTTCTGGATATATGGATTTTTGAAACCCGTTCTGGACCTTCACTGGGTTGATTCTGGTCTTTGGGGGTTTGGCCTTCTCTCAGAGAAGGAGAGGGGTGCACAGTTGTATGGCCTAAAATTCTTTCCTTTTGTTGTAGGAAGCAGATTTTTCTGGGTTTTTTTGGGTTTTTTTTTCAAGTGACTGAAAACTGGGTTCTCTTTTGGATTTTCTATGCCTGGGATTTTTTACACAGTTCTGCTGACAGACGCTCCCTTTGAGCTGTGGAGCAGGTACAGCCCTCTCTTGTAAGGAGGCCTGTGTTTACTGATGGGTCAAAAGTTCCTAAAGAACCTATTAGTGAGATTTTCGCTTCTTGAATTTCTTTGTGTTTGTTTCTGTTACTGCTGCATGATGGATGCTCATTTAGCCATGTACATCCCTCCAGAATGAACTCGGCAGTGTCTGTGTGTGTGAGAAGAAGCACAGTGAAGTTTGGTCTTGAAGCTTTTATGAAATTGTGTTGATAAGTAAAATCTTAGTGGTCCTTTAATCATTACCCTCTCCATTTCATAATTTACCTTAAGTAATTTGAGACGTAAAGCAGAGAGTGTAAAACTTCTGGTTTTATGAACTTATGCAGTATATGTAATTTTTTATCTTTCTTGAGCAGAGTTTTTCATCTTCCCTTCTCACAGACAGGTCATGAAAACTAATTTGCATTTAGGTGACTGGTCATAGATATGAGGCAATAAAACTATTTCAATTTGCATTTAGGTGACTGGTCATAGATATATTGTTCAGTTACAAATGAGGCAATAAAACTATTTTTGCAATTTTATAGTGAATTGGCTTCATTTGTGTCTGTAATCACGCAAAATGGCATTTGATACAAAACCTGAAATCATGTAGAGAAGGACCCCATAGTCCCCTGTGGCTTCCTGGGTTGGCAAAGGTGGGGAGAGGATCGAAGTTACAAGTTCCATATTGTCCAACTTGCTTCCATCTAAATAATTTCTTTCTTTCTTTCTTTTTCAGTGATTCTCCTTTGCCTGTGTCATCGCGTGTGTGTTTTGTAAAGTTCCATGATCCTGACTCAGCAGTTGTGGCCCAGCATCTGACAAACACTGTATTCGTTGACAGAGCGTTGATAGTCGTACCATATGCAGAAGGTTTGTGAATTGTTTAATGGCCTATGAAGCCGTTTTATTCCAGTATAGTTGACAAAAATGGGGATTAGTAAATGTCAAACATATAAGATATTACATTTTGAAACCCTTGGTATATTGCCATTGGCCCATAGATTAGATAATTATTTTTATCTGGTGACACTGAATGAAAGTGGAAAGTTTACCTCTTCCTGATTTTGTATGTCTTTCAGGTTAGAATATTAACATTTTTGTTAGAATTATGTGCAAATTTTGCTCTTTATCAGTCTCAGTGAGACGTTTTCCTGAACAGACTTATGCAAACAGGTCAACGTTTTAAGGAGATTTTCCCTGAATAATGAAGTGTTTGCCACTTTCACGTAGGCGTAAATCTCTTCACGAGAATGGTTTCTCCCTCCCCGAGAGTGCGTGGGAGAGCAGATGACTATTTCCTTGGGATCTGCTGCCACTGCCTTTAGCAGGAGCTTCCCTGGAAAGGCACTCACTCCTTGTGAAGTCCAGTATACCAAGGGTTTGAATAATTACGCTTTAATTTGAAAGTGAGATCTTCCCAGAGGTGCCAAATTGGGCACTGGTACTAGTTTTTTTTTTATTCCAAGTTTTCTTGTTCATCCTTGATATATTTTACAGAATTTCACTAAATAATAAACTCTTCTCTCTGTTATTTGTGTGTGTGATTTTTGTAGTGGAGAAGGCAAATGCAAAGCCCTTCCAGATGACTGAAAAACAGTGGGTCCTCTGCAGCTACAGGGGATTCTAGACATTAACTAAAGGCCAGCAAGCACTCAAGTCCCCAAGTGTTTTCCTGGTGTAACCACTTGTTAACTACATTTTCTCTTCTTCTTTTTATTTTTACATTTTAGGGTGTTACAGTAATTTGAAAGGCAATGAGCAGGGTTTTTGGAACTTACCTTAGAAACAAAGTGCTGAGAAGACACCTCTTCTTACAGAAGTCTTATTAAACTCTTCTAGACTTGCTTTAGAAGTAATTGATTTCTATTGTACTGTTTTCTTGCTTTACTTCTGAAATAATGGCATTTCCCAGATCGCTTGAAAGAAATATAATCTCTGTAGATTAAGTCATACTAGAGTAATAAATTTGGTACGTGGCCTGGGTTCAGAGCTATAATCTAGACATTGCAATGCTGTAGGCTGTCTTTTGAGGCCCGGGGAGCTGTCTTAGCTTTGTATTCCTGAAATTTAAAAAAGATACGAAAACTTAATTTCTGGAATGTAGGAATCTGCAGCATGACCTTTGATTGAGAGAGAGGTGCTGCTGTTTGAGAGCTGTACAGAACACATCCTGAAATTGCTGTTGAGTTACTGCTTCTGCTGTTGCTAGTTGAGGTTTCATAGTGTAGCAGAAAGGCATCGTGTCCTCCTCTTTGCCTTAAAGCATGATGTGGAACAGTCCCTCCGAGTCAGCACTGAGACATTCACCAAGGCCCATGCTGAAAGAAACCAATGTTTAACTTTTCCAATAAGGATAAAAAAGGTTTTTCTCTTTGTCGGTCTGACTTTGTCCATTGTGCTTGATGGTGGATAAATCTGGCACATAGAGAAAGCTGCCCAGTACTTTTGGTTCAGGTGGCGTAACGAAAATAAAATTAATATATAAGTAGAATATTCTAATGGGCCTGTTTAAATCAAGGGCTGTTTCCTGGGGTGTCCTAGCGGTCCCGAATGTTGCCGTTTTTGGCTGAATGATGTAGTGTGTCATAGCCAATGACTTTCTGCCCCGGAGTGTGTAATCACACACGTTTGTCCCCAGGCTGGAGGAGAGTTTCCCCTGTGAGGGCAGAGCCAGGGTCCCAATTCAACAAGCTGTTTAAGCACCATACAGCAAGATTCTTAAAACCCTCGTGCAATTGCTCGTGTGCTTAAAGCCAGGCATATGCTTAACTACTGTGCTGAACTGGGCCTTTTTATCTCTTTATTTTCTATTGTGATAATTCTGTATTAATATTGCCTGTCACTAAAGCAAATGTTTGTTATCTGTTTAGTGCAATAATTATCCCCTATATCACAAGCGCACTCCAGTTTTAGCACACACAGACATTTTGCTGTTGGCTGTTGCTTTGTGTTATAGAGCTATACACAAAGTCTACGGTAAGGCTTAGTATTTGTAATTTTCACTGTGATATTCCTAGATTTGGAAGGAACTCTAAGGTTAAAGGTGGCTGGGGGGGGTATTTAGGTTCTTTGGTTAATGTTTGTTTCTTTTGTCTGTTTCTTTTTCTTTCATTTCTACACATTCATGCAGTATTTCATGGTTCTAACAAAGCAGCAGTAAAAAAAGCTCTTGAAGCATGAAAATTAACTGGTGAGGGGCCTCATTGCTTTTTTTAAAATTGTAGTTTATTTATTTCTAAATACTTTTTTAAAAAACGATTAGAGGATCAGATGCATGATTTTTTTTTAATGGATGCAGATCTTCTATGAGGTGTCTCAAGATAAGTCTGAGGATTTGTATTTAGATGCAAGAAATGTTGTAGTTGCACTAATTTGAAATGTTTAGCTATAATTTATAAATATCCTCTGAGACATAATTTTGCATGCAAAATTACCCCATAATCTCTCTGTAGGTATGTTAATATATTTATGCATTGATGCCCTTTATCTAAATGACCTTTTTCCCCCCCTCTCCCTCCATAACTTTTGGTATCTAAATTGATGACAGCTCAATGACACAAGCAAGATAACAGTGCTGTGTATTATACATTTGTTTATATTATCGGCACTTCTCAGTATAGGTGGAAGGAACCATTACCTTTATTTAACAGTGGTTTTTCTTTTTTGTTGTTGTGTTTTACAGTTCTTTTCCCTGGTTCAGCCTGAACTATATACCAGGCCCTGCTGAAAATACCACCCAACAGTTTTCTTCTGCAGCTTATCCAGTTTCTCTTAAGTGCCCTGTACATATTGTATGTTTTATGATGAGATGCAGTTTCTTAATATGTATTACAGAAACACTACTGGTATTTGCAAATATATAGTAAAATTGTTTTATTGAACTCTCATTTTGGGGGCTTGGGCACATTAACAAATTAATCCATCTGTATAGGGCTTTTGCTGTTGGATAGAATTAAAAATACCTACACAATTACTTGTTTCGTGGTAGGGCCCTTAAAATTCTCTGTGCAGAGCAGGCAGTGAAATAACACGCTTGTCTTAGTTGGCTGCAAGATTTTGGGCCAGAAGTTTCTTCTGCAGTGGCAGTGTGTAGCAGCATTCTTGGTACAATAAGCATGGCACATATTGGAACAATTGCATTTTACTGCACAGGTAAGGAATGTGCCACAGTATCTGTATGTTTGCACCCCTCCAGCCACAGACACACAGACACAGCGCGGATTTGAAGATCTGCAGAGACTTTTCATTTCCATTTGACAAGTCAGCAAAAGCCCTACGCTTGATTCAACCAAAAAAAAAATAATATATATTTCCATACCTTCTCTTTAAGTTTTACAAAATTTATGTGGTAGGTGTAAAAGAAAACATAGTGAACTGTACCATATTATTAACCCCTAAATCAAACTTTTTTTGTCTTGTGTATCTTGATTTTTCTGTGTGCTTTATAGTGAAGCAGCCGACACGAGTCGTTGTTCATAAAACAGCTTTTGAAAGTTGAGAGCACACCCCTGGAGAACCGACTGTGCTTGCTTACGTTTGGTTCATGACTTAAAAATCGAGTACAGGTGATGAAATCTTGGCAGTGTTAACAAAAAAGTAGTGTGTATTGTGCTATTTTTTTGCTCTAGAAACTTAACCATTTGTAGAGAAAAAGGAACAGTCAAATTTTCACCCATTGAAGTTTCATTCTGACAAAAAAAAAAAAAAATTAATGATAAATATTAATAGACATCGAGCTTTGTATTTTAGCCAACATAAGTACTTTCAACAAACTCAGGTGGTGTATCAGGGAGACATTTTCTGGGTGTATTTGTGTATTTTCTGCCTCTGGAAAGGAATGCTCTCTAATGCCAGGCTGTTTCTCTGCAGGAGTTATTCCTGATGAGACTAAGGCTTTGTCTCTCTTGGCACCAGCTAACGCCGTGGCAGGTCTGCTGCCCGGGGGGGGACTCCTGCCCACTCCCAACCCACTCTCTCAGGTAGGTTTGCTGCTTGGAGTCAAGGGAAACCATTCCATGTTTTCTCTTGCCTTCTAACTTACTTTCTGTTGGGTTTTTTTCAGGACAAATAGACTGAGGTGCTAATGCTATTCCTATAAAGTTTTAATTGATATTTCTTCATGGATTGTTACAGCTCTCTGATACAAGTTGTGGCAGAATGGTGTTAATTTACTAAATGGGATGCTTTGATTTCCCTAATATGATGCTTCTGGTATCTCAGGAGCCCTGTGTGTTTCTCTCTCCTCCCTCTTTTATCCATTGTACGCCCACAGACAGATGTGACAAGCAGTACAGATCTCAGAGATTTTAAATTCATATGGTTGAAGGAGTTGATGTGCTGTGGAGATGCCTTCCCTTAATGCTCCAACCAAAGGGAAAAACTTGTAGCCTGTATTCCCTTCTCATCTAAATACACAAGAATTTGGGTGGAAGATGAACAGTAAGAATAATACAGTGTGGAAAAAGTTTCAGTCAAAGCACGTACCTTACTAGAGAACAGAGGATCAGGAAAATTAATAAGACTAAATCTTCATTCATTCTGCAGTTCTCAGATCTGCTTCTTCAGCTTGTGCTGAGCTCTTCTGTATGTATCTTCTGTTATGATTTGTGATTGCATGAAACATACTTGCCGTTGAGTTGTTCAGAAAGTCTCTTTAACCCAATGTAGAAGGAAAAGTCGGAAGTTTAACTTTGAAACTCAAGGAAAGGGATGGAAGAAACAAATACAGTCTTAAAGATTTCTTTCACCAAAAACTGTATGTATGTATGTAAAGTCCTGAAAACCGTCATGCCTTCCCTTAATGCTCCAACCAAAGGGAAAAACTTGTAGCCTGTATTCCCTTCTCATCTAAATACACAAGAATTTGGGTGGAAGATGAACAGTAAGAATAATACAGTGTGGAAAAAGTTTCAGTCAAAGCACGTACCTTACTAGAGAACAGAGGATCAGGAAAATTAATAAGACTAAATCTTCATTCATTCTGCAGTTCTCAGATCTGCTTCTTCAGCTTGTGCTGAGCTCTTCTGTATGTATCTTCTGTTATGATTTGTGATTGCATGAAACATACTTGCCGTTGAGTTGTTCAGAAAGTCTCTTTAACCCAATGTAGAAGGAAAAGTCGGAAGTTTAACTTTGAAACTCAAGGAAAGGGATGGAAGAAACAAATACAGTCTTAAAGATTTCTTTCACCAAAAACTGTATGTATGTATGTAAAGTCCTGAAAATGGTTGTCGAACCGTCTTAATTTTAGTTCTGTCAGTGAATCCCAGCCTACTCCCAATCTGCTTAATGGTAGAATTTATTAAACTCATCCATTTATGGTCATTCTTTTCAAAGCTGGTTGTGTAGCTCCCTTTGACTTACTGGGAGTCGGGCATTTAACTCAGTGAAAACCATTGAGCTGTGGTGGCATCAGCGTGTGGGGAACGTGGCTTTTTTTTCGGGGCTGCAGGGAGAAGCCTGCACCATTTGAAGAGCTCAGTGAACTCAGAAACTCATGGGCAAAGAGTGGAAGGTTCCTCACTCCTGACTACGTGCTTTTGTGCTGGCTCTGGAGCTCCTGGGGTCCCTTGGTGCTGTGGTAGCTCAATGCAGCCGGCACAAAAATATGGTTTTTGACAGCTCAGTGAGCAGACAGTGAGAAGGAAGGAAGGGAGAGCGAGACCTCAGCAGCAGCACAGCATAAAATTAACATCAAAGCATGGGGATTTTAGCACAGGCTGTGTTTTGTTTCAGTGTGTGGTTTGATTTTCTCCCTTCAAATGGCTAAAAAATGAGGTTCTTCTATGAGGCATTTAGGTTAATTTAAGGCATTCAGACCTACGCCGTCATTCTGCTTTTTATTCCAGGAGCTTTTCAACCCGTTTCCCAGTTCCAACCAAATTTGAGAGATTTGTAGAGATGTAGTATTATTACATTGTCTTTTAACATAAACTATGTTAATTTCAATCCTAAGTTGATTCAGATATATGGGAGTTGGCTCAGAAACTTGTAATGAATTTTCATTTTAACACCTGAAAATAAGTTCATTTTGAACTATTTCTTGAATGTAGTGGGATGCTTAACTTGTTTTTTTTATATTTTTTTTTTTCCCTACCCATTGGGATGCAGAGGAAACAGAATTTCACTTTAGAATATTTATAGGGAAAAAAAATATCTTTCATATACTGAATTTTGGAATATCTGAATAGGGAAACCTGAAATACTCTTGCCAAACTTAGTATAATGTTTTCTGTTGCTGGAAACCTAAGTAAAACCTAAGTTTCCCCATGTCTGATGCTTGGGTATCTTGATCTCACCGCTTTTTATCCAGTGAAGATGGCTTTTTGTCTAATTGCTGTTCTCCTTGCAGATCGGTGCTGTCCCTTTAGCTGCTTTAGGAGCTCCCGCTCTCGATCCTGCCCTGGCTGCTCTCGGGCTTCCTGGAGCAAACTTAAACTCTCAGGTACCTCACACACTGCAGTTTCTCAGCAGTCAGAAGTATATTAAATAGCAGGCTGAAGAGCTGGAAATGCTATACTTGAGTCTGAAGAAGTGTTACAAAAATACTACTTTTTATTACAGGCTTGGCTCGGTGTAGCCTGCACAGGTGGCTGGTGCTTTGAACTTCTGAGATTTATTATAGAATTGTTTTTTGGAGTAGCAGGTTTATAAAGGACCACTTTTCTTTTGCTACCCTCTTTTCTCTATTTCAAGTATTTTTCATTTATATCAGTTTAACAGCCACTGTCTGAAAAACCCAGTGATTTGGAATAAATAGTGTCTGCAGGAGTATCAAATTAAATGCGGGAAAGACATAAAAATAATTTGGGACTAGTAATGAAGTGTTTCAGGTATGCTCATTATCGAGTGCTGAATCTGTCCTGTACTTACAGTAAAAGAAAAATTGTTTGATGAAAGTACGGAGCAGACTTTATTATAGACTATAGTCTTTTTTAAAATGAATAAAAAAAGTACTAAGTAGGAGTAGAATATGGAGTTAATATTTAAGATATGAGAGCCAAATACTGTACAGACAACACATTTTACAAGAAATAATAATTTAATCCATTGCTAAAAAATCATCATTCAGCATTCTTTGTATGCATGGCATGTGTAGTAACAAGCAAATAGTGGTGATAAAGAAATAAAAAATTTAAAAAAAAAAAGCATCTTAAACACATATTAGAAAAATGTAATGTGATGAAGGGTTGTTTCCTTTGTCCATTAAGGGAGCTGATGGCAACAAACTGTTAGAATTCAGCACATGGTTGCCTCTGGATAAAGGAAATTGGTGGAGACTAAACATTCTGCTGTTCATACCCCACTGGCACAGGAGGGGACCAGTTCCAATAATCTCTGGATTTGCCTCAGAGCTGTAAAATACATTTTTGGTGGGATTTTTAGAGTAAAGAAGCTTTTGGTTATTGTTCATAAATTGACATTGAGGACTGCCCATAGACAGGCAACTGGGTTCTCTAATGAGGTCTCTGTTCTCTTGAAGGAACAGAGAAATAACCTGTAAATACCAGAAGTGTATTTTTATTTTAAAGTGCTTTAATTCTGCCCTGGAAAGGGCTGATATTTGGCCGCTGTGGGGAAAAAAGGTACCTGAGCACCACTGAAAAGTGATGTTCTCACCCTCAGCACCATCTACAAATTTGAAAACAGAACAATATCCCTTTTGTCTGTAACATCTTTGGGGTGTGGGGTTTGTTTTGTGGAGTATTTTTTTTATCTGTGGACACTTTCTACTGTAGCCACTGCTGAGGAAGAGAATCTCCTTAAGCATACACATCTCCCAACGTGGTTTTAACTTGTTTTTTTTTTTCCCCCTCACAGTCTCTTGCAGCAGATCAACTACTAAAACTTATGAGCACAGTGGATCCAAAGTAAGTGTTTACAAATATTTACAAATATTTATATTGCAATATACTCCTTCTCAGGAATATCTGTTGGGATTCAGTATCCAGTCTTTGTCCTGCTGGATCTGACTAAGGTTGAAGAAAAACAGTGTCCTGGGGATCTTGTGCAGACTCTTTTTACTGTGGTAGAGAGAGAAGAAGGGGAGGAAGCAAAGATTATTCAGCCTTGCATCTACGGAATAATTAATCTCTGGGATTTCATTTTGCTGGAGATAGAAATTCAGTTTGTGTCTGTGGTATAGAGGTGCAGCCAGCACCTCCCGTCCTGAAGGGCCATGCCCATGGTGGGGGCTGGACGAGGGGACCTCTAAAGGTCCCTCCCCACCCAAAATGTTCTGTCATCCTGTGGCTGAGGACAAGCCGAGACCAGCAACTGGGGTCAAAGCCAACAATAAAAGAGTCTATTTACATTACAGCCATCAGGAGATAATAAAAACCAACATGTCTTATTACGTGGTAGAAAAAGGGAGCAAAAAGCAGTAGCATGAGTATTTGCTAGTTTTTATTTCAGTATTCAGAAAAAGGATAACTTTATTCAAAATATGGCATGGGGACAGCAAGTAGGGAAGGGTTGTAGCACTTCATGTATTCACGTGCTGTTCAGCTATTGGTAAGGTTGGAGCAGGATGGTGAAAGCATGTGCCATAGGGGAACAGCTGGTGGGCAAATTAGTAGATAAAAAGTGCAATAAATGCAAAGAAACCACCTCAGCCTTGGGACGGCAAATTGCAGGGAGCTTTGGGGAGAATTCTTTCAACTCTGGGCTTGGGGAAAGCATGTCGATGCGTGCTTGTCCTGCTGCTGGAATGGCTAAATAGATCTTCCCTGCTATTTACAGTTCACTGGAATTCTGAGAGCTGGATGTGCAGGTGTCTTGTGACACTGTCTCCACATCTTACACTTATTCTGTTATCTGAACGGTGACAAAACACAGGCAGATGCTGATTCCCTGAGATCAGCTGCTTCGAACAGGCTGCAAATCTATTTCTTTGATTCCTCCACACTGAATTGGTAACATCCTTTTCCATCTGGCAGGTTGAACCATGTAGCTGCAGGCCTTGTCTCACCCAGTCTGAAGTCAGATACCTCCAGTAAAGAAATCGAAGAAGCTATGAAAAGAGTCCGAGAAGCACAGTCACTAATCTCTGCTGCTATAGAGCCCGGTGAGTTTCACTCCTAGAGTGGGATTTAAATCCTAGAATTCAATTCACGATGGAGTTTTGATGTAGGTGATAAAAGCAGCCATCAGGAGATAACAAAAACCAACATGTCTTATTAAGTGGTAGAAAAAGGGAGCAAAAAGCAGTAGCACAAGTATTTGCTAGGTTTTTTTTCAGTATTCAGAAAAAGGATGACTTTATTCAAAATATCAAAATGTTCTGTCATCCTGTGGCTGAGGACAAGCCGAGACCAGCAACTGGGGTCAAAGCCAACAATAAAAGAGTCTATTTACATTACAGCCATCAGGAGATAATAAAAACCAACATGTCTTATTACGTGGTAGAAAAAGGGAGCAAAAAGCAGTAGCATGAGTATTTGCTAGTTTTTATTTCAGTATTCAGAAAAAGGATAACTTTATTCAAAATATGGCATGGGGACAGCAAGTAGGGAAGGGTTGTAGCACTTCATGTATTCACGTGCTGTTCAGCTATTGGTAAGGTTGGAGCAGGATGGTGAAAGCATGTGCCATAGGGAAACAGCTGGTGGACAATTAGTAGATGAAAAGTGCAGTAAATGCAAAGAAAACACCTCAGCCTTGGGATGGCAAATTGCAGGGAGCTTTGGGGAGAATTCTTTCAACTCTGGGCTTGGGGAAAGCATGTCGATGCGTGCTTGTCCTGCTGCTGGAATGGCTAAATAGATCTTCCCTGCTATTTACAGTTCACTGGAATTCTGAGAGCTGGATGTGCAGGTGTCTTGTGACACTGTCTCCACATCTTACACTTATTCTGTTATCTGAACGGTGACAAAACACAGGCAGATGCTGATTCCCTGAGATCAGCTGCTTCGAACAGGCTGCAAATCTATTTCTTTGATTCCTCCACACTGAATTGGTAACATCCTTTTCCATCTGGCAGGTTGAACCATGTAGCTGCAGGCCTTGTCTCACCCAGTCTGAAGTCAGATACCTCCAGTAAAGAAATCGAAGAAGCTATGAAAAGAGTCCGAGAAGCACAGTCACTAATCTCTGCTGCTATAGAGCCCGGTGAGTTCAACTCCTAGAGTGGGATTTAAATCCTAGGATTCAATTCACAATGGAGTTTTGATGTCGGTGATAAAAAAAACAGTGTCCTGGGGATCTTGTGCAGACTCTTTTTACTGTGGTAGAGAGAGAAGAAGGGGAGGAAGCAAAGATTATTCAGCCTTGCATCTACGGAATAATTAATCTCTGGGATTTCATTTTGCTGGAGATAGAAATTCAGTTTGTGTCTGTGGTATAGAGGTGCAGCCAGCACCTCCCGTCCTGAAGGGCCATGCCCATGGTGGGGGCTGGACGAGGGGACCTCTAAAGGTCCCTCCCCACCCAAAATGTTCTGTCATCCTGTGGCTGAGGACAAGCCGAGACCAGCAACTGGGGTCAAAGCCAACAATAAAAGAGTCTATTTACATTACAGCCATCAGGAGATAATAAAAACCAACATGTCTTATTACGTGGTAGAAAAAGGGAGCAAAAAGCAGTAGCATGAGTATTTGCTAGTTTTTATTTCAGTATTCAGAAAAAGGATAACTTTATTCAAAATATGGCATGGGGACAGCAAGTAGGGAAGGGTTGTAGCACTTCATGTATTCACGTGCTGTTCAGCTATTGGTAAGGTTGGAGCAGGATGGTGAAAGCATGTGCCATAGGGGAACAGCTGGTGGGCAAATTAGTAGATAAAAAGTGCAATAAATGCAAAGAAACCACCTCAGCCTTGGGACGGCAAATTGCAGGGAGCTTTGGGGAGAATTCTTTCAGCTCTGGGCTTGGGGAAAGCATGTCGATGCGTGCTTGTCCTGCTGCTGGAATGGCTAAATAGATCTTCCCTGCTATTTACAGTTCACTGGAATTCTGAGAGCTGGATGTGCAGGTGTCTTGTGACACTGTCTCCACATCTTACACTTATTCTGTTATCTGAACGGTGACAAAACACAGGCAGATGCTGATTCCCTGAGATCAGCTGCTTCGAACAGGCTGCAAATCTATTTCTTTGATGCCTCCACACTGAATTGGTAACATCCTTTTCCATCTGGCAGGTTGAACCATGTAGCTGCAGGCCTTGTCTCACCCAGTCTGAAGTCAGATACCTCCAGTAAAGAAATCGAAGAAGCTATGAAAAGAGTCCGAGAAGCACAGTCACTAATCTCTGCTGCTATAGAGCCCGGTGAGTTTCACTCCTAGAGTGGGATTTAAATCCTAGAATTCAATTCACGATGGAGTTTTGATGTAGGTGATAAAAGCTAATGGTCTGCAAAATACTGGCTTAATGCTTTCATGTTTTATAGGGACTTAATTTATACTTGACAGCTTTTTAATTGTCCTGCAGGGTGAGCACTGTGTGTGTCCTGCAGAACGATGCAGGAATTTACTCATCTGTTGTGTTTTGCCCAAAATTCACTTGATTTGAAGATTGCAAAATGCTGGAGCTTCCCCTGGTGGGGGTTCATACTGGAGACCTCATTGGAAGCAGCAAGTGGCTTAACCACTTGCCATCCTAGTGGTGGTTGTTCTTGGGCATGATTTCCTTCCTTGGCATGCCTAATCTGCAGAAGCTTGTAAATAATTCTTTATTTTTGTAGTTTATTTCAGTAGATTTTATTTTAGAATAAGTTGCAGCAGTTCATCCATGGATCTCAGAGCCACCAAAGTAATTTACAGCACTGGAAATAGAGTTTTGGAGCCTCCTGATGGTTCTCAGGAAAGAATAGAGCTCCTGTTCTTTTACTATACTGGAAAAAAATGTGCTGGTTGTTTTGCTTTTTGTGGGAAATTCAAAATAGTAATTTGAGAGATTCTTTAGCCCTTTGTAAAACAGCAGAGATGCTGAGATTTTCCCAAGACCTCCCCTTGCCCTGCAGCTGTCACCTTGCAACTGACTTAAATTTAACATTTTCTGCACTTTGACTAATCCAGTTTTGCGTAAAACTTTCTGTTGGTTTTATGCCGTGTACACGTCTGTGTCACGTGTTTGCTCTTTGTGTCATCTCTGGAGGAAAAGGACAGATAAGCCTTAATTTCAAACGTCAAAATATTCCTTAAGTTTTCTTTATCTTATGAATATCTGTAGCATGAAGCTCAACTTCCTTTCCTTTATAAAATCTTCTTGAATGCTAAAATAACATCGGGGGTTTTTAACTATTCTTTTCCTTTTTTAACTCCAGACAAAAAAGATGAGAAACGAAGGCATTCGAGGTCGAGGTCACGCTCCAGGAGGAGGAGGACACCTTCTTCATCCAGACACAGGTAGTTGCCTTATTTGCTTTAAGAAAAGAAACAACAAAAAGACGTAGCTGGAAACAATTCCTTCAAAAACTCTTCTTGAATGACACTCCTCTCCTGGTGGAGGAGCAGAAACGGTGTGAGGAAAGCTGTGATTTGGCTGGAGTGTGGGATGGAGCCTCCCTCTGCTTCTGTGGGAAGGGTTTGGAGAGAGGAGGGAGAGCAGAAAATACCTCAGAAACAGCTTAAACTGCGGCGGAAAGAACTTGGGGACGCCCTGTCCTACCCAGCAGTGTTGGGACTCTGGGTTTATTTCACAATAAATTGTTCCTTATGTCAGATAAGAAACACCTTAGCGCAGAGGCTCGTTTGCTAACTGTAATTAGTATATCAAAATGTGCTGTGTTTGCCTCCCCTGTCCCGTGTGTTGCCGGCAGACGGTCAAGAAGCAGGTCGAGGAGAAGGTCCCATTCCAAATCGAGGAGCAGGAGGCGATCCAAGAGCCCGAGGAGGAGGAGGTCTCACTCCAGAGAGAGGAGCAGGAGGTCGAGGAGCACATCCAAAACCAGGTAACTGCCTCAGTACATCTCTGCTGTTGGCTAGAGATTAAACTATTGCATTTGGGTGCTTAATTTAAAAAAATAACAAACAAAAACACTGGGGCAGAATGAACTGGTGGCTCTTTTTAAAGTCACAGTCTCTCGTAATGTCTTATAGAATGACATGAATGATATGTCTTAGGAAAGCAGGAGCTGCAAGCATCTACACATCCATACACAGAAGCTATAAATGAGCTGTTCTTTTATTTTGTTGTAGATAATTGTAATTTTTGTTTCCACTGAAACAGTGTGAGTGGCCCCAGAAATACTAAGCAGCATGTGCCATCCAGTGCAGGCACCGTGTCTTCATTCCTTTCCCTGCCTAGCAAAAGTAGCAAACACTGTTTGACTAGTTTGAAAATCAAACTTAACATCTGTATTTTACTAAAAGGGATAAAAAGAAGGAAGAGAAAGAGAAGAAACGTTCTAAAACTCCTCCCAAAAGCTACAGCACAACCAGGCGATCGAGAAGCACAAGCAGGTATGGAAACATGGCCATTGATGGCCACTGTCACAGAGCAGTCTTGTGTGTAGCAGGACCATGATCCAGCTGGGAATATCCTGGCTGTACACACAAATGTGTGAATACTCTCTGCCTGGGTCTACAGGATGTTTTATTTTTCCCCTGATACTGTAATTTTCTGGAGAAAGAGTTTCTCCTTGCTCTATATCGAAGAGAGTGTGATCCTTTGAGGTCATTCAAAGCACTTTGAGGTCACTCTTAAACCCTTTCCCCACTTATGGAATGAATACATGCAAAACGTGTCATTCTTTTTAAAGAATTTTCCAAAATTAACTTGTAATATTGACAAGAACAAGCTGTTTCGTTTCTGTTTGCAAGAAGAGCCAGTGTCCCCAACACAGCCTGAGCTCGGCAGCTTGTTCCTGGGGGTGGAGGTGGAACAGGGAAGAACTTGCTCTGCTGATCAGCAGCTGGGGAGGATTTTCAGCACTTCCAAGAGTAAATACCCATTTGGAATTCTGTGTATGTGCTGCCTTTTGAGCCCTGCTGGGCTTGGAGCCAGAGGGGAATCACAGAATCACAGCATGGTTTGGGTGGGAAGGGACCTTAAAGATCATCGAGTGCCACCCCCTGCCCTGGGCAGGGACACCTCCCACCACACCAGGTTGCTCCAAGCCCCATCCAGCCTGGTCTTGAGTATGTGTAGCTTTAAAACAAAACAAAACAAAAAGCCAAAAAAAAGCTTTCATCACTTTTTCCTGCAGGGAAAGACGACGTAGGAGAAGCAGGAGCGGATCCCGGTCACCTAAAAAACCCAGGTCTCCTAAAAGGAAAATGTCCCGGTCCCCATCTCCAAGAAGGTCAGTTGAGCCTTTTTGGCTGAAAAAAAATAGTGATAATAAAGGTGTCTGGGTGGGAAATTCCCGAGGAGTGAGCTCTGGCCACGGTCACGGTGGGGATTGTAGGAACATGGTGTGTGTTTGGTGCTTGGCTTATACCCAGGCGTGGGTTGAGAGAGAGAGAGAGGGGGTGGATCTCTGCTGCCACTGCTGCTTTTGGTGCCATTTAATGTGCTTTGAGCACAGAACTGCTCTGGGAGTGCCCATAAACTCCAAACCTGGGGTATTCCAGGGCTGAGGAGAGACCTGGAGCTCCCAGCCCTTTGACTCCCTGTGACAGGAGTCACCCGGGCGTTTGGTGATCCTCAAACTGGAGCTGCTCCTTCATCAGACCCTCTGGAGCTGATGGGCTTACCAGGGTCTTATCCTGGTGGGAGGTAAGAACCTCCCATCCAGACCTGTTGGCTTACCAGGGTCTTATCCTGGTGGGAGGTGAGAACCTCCCATCCAGACCTAAGAAATGAGGTTTTTTGGTTATTTTCTGAAAGCCAATGATGTGTTATAGTCACATACAGCTCATTCTCCCTTTAGATGTGTCATTGTGGGTAAGGTCTGGACATGGTCTGTGGTCCAGTTGCAGAATGGCGTGGTGGCAGCCTTCATTCTTCTCCGTGCTCTTACCATTGCAGACATAAAAAGGAAAAAAAGAAGGATAAAGACAAGGAGAGGAGTCGAGATGAGAGGGAGCGGTCAACCAGCAAGAAAAAGAAGAGCAAAGACAAGGAGAAGGATCGGGAACGGAAATCTGAGAGCGACAAGGACGTGAAAGTATGTTTAAAACCCTCCTCAGCCCCACGGGCCCTGCTGTCCCGTCCCCCTGGAACTGGGGCTTTGGGAGCAAGTTTTACCTTTGTTTTTTATCTCGGCAAAGCAGGTCACAAGGGATTACGACGAAGAGGAGCAAGGGTACGACAGCGAGAAGGAGAAAAAGGAGGAAAAGAAAATGGCAGATTCTTCCTCCCCGAAAGGCAAGGAATGCGGGGCCGAGAAAGGGAGCGGGGATTCTGCCAGGGAATCCAAAGTGAACGGGGACGATCACCACGAGGAGGACATGGACATGAGTGACTGAGCCCTGTCCCCGCAGCCTCGGTGTGTCATTCCTCTGTCATTCTTTTACGCTGTACCCGTTAACCCTCAGTTAGATGTCTGATAACAGCTCCGCGCTACGCCCCGTTTGTAAACCCCCCCGTACTAACTCCCACCAGAGCAGCCTCCTGGTGACCCCGGGGTGGTGGGGCCCGGCCGTGGGGCTCTCACTGGGCACAGGAAGCCCTGCAGGTGTCCCCAGCAGGCAGGGGCTGGGTGGTGAGAGGCCCCCGCTGACCCAGCTCACCCCATAGCGTCCCCCACCCCCCACAGACCTCCGTGGGGCACACACAGCCTCCCCGTGCCCGGTCCTGCCGCTCCGGGGGGACCTACTCAAGGGTCTTAAGTGTGACTACACAAAAAAAACCCACAGTCCATCTGAAAACGAGCGTCCTGATCCTCCTGATCGATCGTCCTCATCCTCCTGATCTAGGTAGTTCTTTTGTTTCTGTTGTATTTTTTTAAGCCATGTGGCTGGGGTTGCTTGGTTTTGTTTTTCTGGTTTCCTTTGGCTTTTGACAAGAGTTAAAATGCACTAACCTTTTTGAGGGCTTGGTTTTTTTTTCCTTTTGGATGGTTTTTATCTTTTTTTAACTCCGTTCCAGCCCGTCTGGGGCGAGGTGTGGTGGCTCCACAGCCCCGGGGAGGGACAGATCTCCGCGTGCCCAGTGACAGAGGGTCGATCGGCGCGGTTTCCCTGATCAGGGGGTTTGATTTTGTTGCAGAAAAGGGTAGTGCATTTTAAACCTGACCTTCCTACGCTTTCCAAAGCAGGTCGACTTGATAATGTACTTTTTACTTGGATCTCCAGTTGTATAAACTAATAAATTTGTGTTTGCTGTCACTGCAGTAGTAGCCTCATGCGCACGGTGAGCCCGCCCTCTCCGCAGAGTAGTTAGAGCAGCCCTTTCCTCCCTCCCGCCCCTTCCAGAGCTTTTACTTTTGTGCAGGTAAAAAACCAACCCCGAGCCGAGCGGGGGCTGGGTCTGTGCCATGTCGATGTACAGTTTCTGAAATTGTTTTACAGAACTTTGATAATAAAAACCCTTAAACTCACACTCGTGTTGCTGGAAACCTCTGCTGGTGTTTGTTTGCACCCCGGAACCTACGTTTCACCTCCCTCTCTCCCTCCCAAACTTCACCTCTCTCCCTCCCAAACTTCACCTCTCTCCCTCCCAAACTTCACCTCTCTCCCTCCCAAACTTCACCTCTCTCCCTCCCAAACTTCACCTCTCTCCTTCAGAGCCTGCCTTTTAGTTCATCCCACCCATTTTAAGGTGACGGTAAGGACTTGGTCTCTTCAAAGCTGAGGAGCTGCCCTCCTCAGCTCATTACGCTAACAAAATATTTTAATTTGGGGGAATGAAGGGAATGAGCTTAAACAGGAACGTAGAGGTGTTAAGGGACAAGTGCTTTTTAAAGGAAATACGTATTTGTAAAAGCTTTTTGTATTTCCACTGAACTAAGGCCTTCAGGATGGTAAGGGAGGGGCAGAAAGACCCGGCACCCACAAAGGGAGGGTCTTTAAAGGAGGGGTCTGGGGGTGAAGCTGGAAGTGGTGCTTGAGCCCAGGCAAACCACTGTCTTCTTAAACCCTCCTTTGGCCCTGGGCAAAGCAGAGCTTGCCCTTGAGTGGGCAGAGTTAATAAAGAGTTACTAAAAGTTAAATAAGAGTGTTGTTTTTAGAATTTGTAGAAATGTAAATTTTTTTTACAGTGAGTGTTTTGTCAGACAGTGGGAGGGAGAGTTCCTGTGGTAACAGCCAGACCTAGAGGAGGTGCAGGACGGCTCCCTGGATGGGCCTTTTTTGTTCTCCTCACCCTATTTCTAGGTGAAGTTCAAGACCATAAAGGGATTTACAGCAATAGAGGGGATCTCCTGGGGCAGGGGGTGGTGCGCTCGGCTCTGACCCCTTCGTCAAGGGCTGCCTGTAATTAAATGGAGGTGGTTTTGAGTTTATTTTACTCTGGCATTAACCCTGCCTCCAGCTGCTGGGCCCAGACACAGGAGGAGCCCCTTCGTCAAGGGCTGCCTGTAATTAAATTGAGGTGGTTTTGAGTTTATTTTACTGTGGTGCATTAACTCTGCCTCTGGCTGCTGGGCCCAGACACAGGAGGAAGGTGTGTGGTTTCACACCACCTCTGCTTATTGATATTATTAATAATTAATCACTGTCCATCCCCTTGGATCATCACCCCCGTAGGATGCTGGGGGGACCAGATGTCACAGGTCCTCCCTGGGACCTGGGGAGGAGCTGCTGCTCTCAGCTCTGGGTACGGCACCACCTCCCAGGGTTGGAGCCCTGAGCCACCATAACAACTCTATTTTAGTAATTAGAAGTTGGTTTGCTAATTACTACAGTGTGTAGGGCTCCTGTCCCTCCGGTGAGCACCCCCCCCAAAGCCACAGGACCCCTTCCCTGTGTGACTGAAGCAAATCCTTACCTGGGGAGGGGTGTGCTCAGCTCAGCGCTGCAGGCACAGCCGCCCACGCTCACAGGGGAGCGATTTTAAGTCAAAAACCCAAACCCCACAAAGCTAAAAACACCTTTTACAAGGCAAACTGAAACTTCAGGAGTTTCAGGTTTTGGTCTCCGACTCGTCCCCGGTTCCTCTGAGATGCTGCTGTTATGACCAACAGTCACAGCTTCTTGTTTAAATAAGCGTATTTGTGGATTTTAAGGTAAAACTTGTGTAATTCCTGCCCGGGAAAGGTTTGTTTCCTCCCTCCCTCCCCGGTGGCTGCTTCTAAACTCTGACCCTCAGCTCCCGGTCACCGCCAGGAGCTGCCGGCCGCGTCCTTCCTCCTCCAGCTGGAGCTTTACAGAGGGCAAAGAACAGTCTCGAATGAAAATGCAGGATTTTATTTTAAAAAATGACCAATAAAATGCCCTTGCAGGACGCCGCAGGGTGAGCTCAGCCCCTGGGACCCAACCCCTGCCCAGAGACGCGTCCCCCTCCCCGCAAATCCACCCCGAGCCTCTCACCTTCAGAATCCAACAGCACGGTTTGGTCTTTATTCTAACAAATGATACAACCAAAAAATTCCTATTAGTGAAGGTCGGTTAAAAACATGGACCAGACAAACCAGTAAAACGCAAAAAAAACCCCAACAAACCCAAACAAAACAACAAACAAACCAAAAAAAGCAAGTGAGGTTGTTTCCGTGACAATCACAAAGGGCAAGGACCGGAGCAGCAGGGCAGGAGACACCTTAGCACAGATGAACCAGTGCCCTCACCCTCCCAGGAGTTACAGATCAAGAACAAATACATTTTTTAAAATAAAAACCAACCCCAAACCAGGCGGTGGCTTTGCAATCACCCCACGGAGGTGGGTTTCCAGCCCAGACCCACCAGAGGGGCCCCGTAAGAGTGGGGCAGAAGGGCAGGGAGGGGAGCGTGGGGCCGGGAGAGCAGCTCCTGGGGGAGGGGAAAGGCAACACCTTCCCTTGGCCACAACCCAGAGCCCTGGGCTGGAAGGACCAGGACAATCACTGGGTTAAGGAACAACCCCAGGGATTCTTCTGCAACCATTTCGTATTTCAGTTGACCAAATTTAATGGCTGGTTTTTAATAGTCATAAAAAAACCCAAAAAACCTCACGGCCATCAGGGGAAAATAAAAGTGGTGAGAGTGGGAAGAAACAGAGCCCTGGGCTGGAAGGACCAGGACAATCACTGGGTTAAGGAACAACCCCAGGGATTCTTCTGCAACCATTTCGTATTTCAGTTGACCAAATTTAATGGATGGTTTTTTAGTAAAAAAAAAACCAAAAACCCTCATGGCCATCAGGGAAAAAAAAGTGGTGAGGGCAGGAAGAAACGGTGGCCAAACCCTGAGGAGAGGTGGCCTCTCCTGAGCACCAGCAGCGAGGTTTCCCCACCTCGGCTGCACCTCCACGGCCACCACGGGGCCAAGAGCAGCTTCAACACGTGGGTTGGACCCTTCCCATGGTGTCCCGGGGCAAGGACAGTCCCCACACCCACACAAGGCCAAGGGTGTCCCCTCAACACGGTCTCAAGGAGAAGATAAGGGGGGAAAAAAGCAAAAAAAATTAAGTTTCTCTAGGTCAATCCCGCTAGAAAACATGAATTTCCAGCTGGAACATGAATTCCCCAGGGCTGTGGGGAGGAGGTGGGGGGTGAAGGGGAGCGGTGTCCCCAGCACAGCCCCGGGCTCCCTCTGTGCTGGGGACACTTCTCCCTCCCACGGAGCATCCAGAGACACAACCACCACACTTTGTGTCCCTACAACACAAAAACCTCACAAGAAAAACAAGTTCTAGTGAGATGTGACCATTGGTGTGGAGAGCCACCACCACAGACCGGCACCAGCACCACCAGGCTGCTGGGACACCCCGAGGTTGTCCCTCAGCCCAACGTCCCCCCAGCTCCTGAGGATCCATCAGGAACCTGCCCACTTCAAAACTTGTCCCTGGAATAAGAAAACACATCACCAACAGCTGGAGGGAAACATCCCGAGGAGCAGCTTCATGGGGCTGTCACAGGAATCTGGGAATGGTCATGGAAGGGAGGGGACAAAGTGGTGGGAGCCAGGTCCACAGGGAGAACAAAAACATTGGGGTACGCTCACCCTAAGAATGTAAAAAGACCACCAAATTCCCCCAAATCCGTGTCCACCCTTCTCTGCTGACGCTCCCAAATCAGAGCAAGCCCTAGTGCACAGCAACCTGCTGCAAAAAGTTCCTGCACATCTTAAAACTTATCAAAGTCCGTGGGTGTGAAGTCACCAAGGTTACAAAACCCCACAAAACCTGGAGCTGGAGCCTGAGGAAACCAGCCAGAAGCTCCAGGACCTCCTGGGGCTGGGTCAGACACCCCCTCCCACAGCAGGAGCCCTGCCCGGGCAGAGACACACAGACCCCCCCCTCGCACCTCAGGCTCCACAAAAAGCTGTTATTTTGATTTTTAAAGCCTGGAAAACCCAGTCCATCCCAGTGCCCTACAGCTGGGAGCGCTCCTGCCCCCTCGGCACGCTTGGTCACGGGAATTAAAACAACCAAAAAAACACAAAGAAATACAAAATGCGTGGTTTTTTCCCTGTAATAAGGATTTCTGACAGTCCCCTTCTGCAGAAAGGCGGGGGATGCCCCACACCCAGCAGAAGACCTGGTCCCACGGTGCTGCCCACCACGTCCCACCCTGTGGGGGGGTTCCAGGTGGGAAAAGCCCAGCTTTGGCCCCACGGATGCTGAGTCCCGACCTCCAGCACCCAGAGGGTGACTCTGTCCCTACACTGGGCCCCATGGCGGGTGCTGCCCTGCAGCAGGAGGTGGGTGTCCTCATCCCACCCATGTGAAACCCCTGGGGAATTCATCATCACTTGGGAGAACAAGTTCTATCATTCCCAGGGAACGTTCCACACCTCAGAAGGAATCACAGCTCTACACTTCCCTTTGCTCCCCCCCCAGTCTCATTTTAGGTTTGATTCTGGGTGGGTAACTCCAGGGTTTGGGGGAGAGCCTGCAGCACCAGCTCCATGGGGAGGCTGAGGAGCATCAACCCCAGCTTTGGGTCCATGGGGACTTTGCTGACCTTCCCGTGGTTCCATCGATCCCAGCGTCCAGCGGTTCCTCAGGACCCCTCCTCTTCTCCAGAGCAGCCTCTCGGGGTTCACACAGATGATTCCAGAGGTTTCTGCAAGAACATCTGCTCCAGTTGGGTATTTCCATGGTCCCTCCATGTGTCCAGCTCCCACTGCCTCGTGCTCGGCCACCTCCATCCACCCCCCGCAGGGTCACTCCACTTGGCTTCCTTCGCTAAGCAGCCACGACAATCTTCATTATAAAGTTTGATACTTAACTCTATTGTAATTTCCAGAAAAAAAGAGTTTTAACTACAGTGCACAAAGAATATCATTTTGAAAATATTTACATATTTTTTTTTGTACAATGACACCACAGCACTTTAATCTAAATTTCTTAATACAAACAAATAGCACCATTAGCCTTTTGCACAAGTTCTTCCCAACAGACCCAAGAGCTGGATTGTTGTTGGATGAGGGGACTGGGACCACTTGGACCGAGAAGGAGCTCACGACGGGGGAGCGCTGAAAGCCAGAACGCTACGGGGAAATTAAGGAAATTAATCTGGAAACTCCCAAAGCATCTGCAAATTAAAACCTTCCGAGGTGAGCCCTATTCCCTGTGAGCTGCAATGGAACTAACTTCAAGAAAAACCTTCTCCTCTGCAGATTTAACACTTTGAGTTACTGCTTCAGTCACTCTTTACCTGCACCCCGTGCTCCCCGGTGGATGCTCAACCATCACGGAGCAAATCTCCCAAGTGGAGGTGAAAAAACAGAAGGGACAAAGGGAGGATTCCCAGCCTGGGAAGCTCCCAGCAGGACCAGGGACAGGGCAGGGACAGCAGGAGGGAGGGGAGGGAAGGGCAGAGCCAAGGGGGGTGAGGAAGGGCTGGGGGAGGAAGCACAGGGTCCCAGACAGGGCCAGCAGCACCTCGGGTGGCTGTGGGTGCTGGGGGGGTCCCTGCCTCCCCCCAGAGCCAGCGCTGCCTCCGAGCTCTACTGCAGGAGGAAAATGCAGTGATTTGTTTTTTTTTTTAATGGTTACCATTTGGTTCATTCCTCTACAGAAAACACATTCCTTCTAATATACGTCCGACTAACATTCAAATTACTGAGCTATACAGAATGATACATAGTTTACAATTCAGGAAAACAAAGCTTGAAAGAATATAATATGGTCATCTGAAAGAGTGGCGGGGTGTGTCACCGGGCTAAGATCCAGCTAAGACATCTCAACTGTTAACGCTAATGGTCCAAAGAGTGCTTTTTGTATCACCAAGAAATGTAAAAAATTTAAAAACGAATGCTAGTCCTCAGGGCTGTTGAGTGTTGTGGGGTGACAGAGCCCCTCGCCCGCAGCACTGCACGTAGAAAAGGGTGAGGGAGACACGGGGAGACTCGCTGGAGACCAGGAACTACATGAGATGCCCGTTACAGGGACTAACATCAGTCAGTCGACGCCTGTTCCCTTTATATTCTGGATTATTGAAGTTTATCCCTTTCTTTCCGAGCCGCTTTCCCATCTCTGTCCGTGGGCTGGGGGCATCCCTTGGCTTTTGCCACGGGAAGGCTGGTGCCGGTGCTCACCACGAGGCTTCCAGTTGAGTTAGAGGTCGGGGAAACGGCTGGGGTCCTCCTTGTAGTCGTCGGGGATAGTGAAGATGGAGTCGTCAAACTCGTCGTAACGGAACTCCTGGAAGGTCACAGTGGCTGTGATGGTGGGAAACACAGGGATATCTGGGGAGGAGGCAAAAGGCAACCATGAAGAGCGAAGGAATTAGGAGGGCAACGAAACTAGAAGACAAATCATATGAAGAGCGGCTGAAGGAGCTGGGGCTGTTTAGTATGAGGAAGAGGAGGCTGAGGGGAGACCTCATCACTCTCTACAACTACTTGAAAGGACACTGTAGAGAGGTTGGTGCTGGTCTCTTCTCACAGGTAATTAACAATAGAACGAGAGGGAACAGCTTCAAGCTCCAACAGGGTAGGTTTAGACTGAACATTAGGAAGGAATTTTTCACTGAAAGAGTGGTCGGGCATTGGAACAGGCTGCCCAGGGAGGGGGTGGAGTCCCCATCCCTGGCTGTGTTTAAGGGCCGTTTAGATGCAGTGCTGAGGGACATGGTGTAGGGGAGGACTTTGTAGAGTAGGGGAGATGGTTGGACTCGATGATCCCAAGGGTCTCTTCCAACCTCAATGATTCTATGATTCTAATTGAGGTTTATCAACAGTTACCAACCGTCACCCAAAGGTCTGTAGCTACAGACACAGAGGCTGGTTTCACACCTGCAGGGGGGTGATGCAAAGCTCTTGAGGAGGAGGTGGATTCAAGCAAGTTATTTTAGAAAACACTCAGATACCCCGAGCGCAGAAACAATACCCAGCTCTATACACCACTCAAAACCTGCCAATATTACTAAGGTCTCTTTCTATGATTTCCAGAGAAGGGTGACAAAGATGGTGAGGAGTCTGGAGAATAAGTCTTATGAGGAGAGGCTGAGGGAGCTGGGGGTGTTCAGCCTGGAGAAGAGGAGGCTGAGGGGAGACCTCATTGCTCTCTACAACTCCCTGAAAGGAGGGGGTAGAGAGGTGGGGGTCGGTCTCTTCTCCCAAGTCACAGGCGACAGGACGAGAGGAAATGGCCTCAAGTTGCCCCAGGGGAGGTTCAGGCTGGATATTAGGAAAAATTTTTTCACTGAAAGGGTTCTCAGCCATTGGAATGGGCTGCCCAGGGAGGGGGTTGAGGCACCATCCCTGGAGGTGTTCAAAAGCCGGGTTGATGTAGTGCTGGGAGGTCTGGTTTAGTGATGATGCTCCTTGTTTGTTGTGCGGGTGTCTATTTTTGTCAGTTAGGTTGATGGTTGGACAAGATGATCTTTAAGGTCCCTTCCAACCTAGAAGATTCTGTGATTCAGTGGGTTTCCTTTCCTGACACAAGACTGAGGACACGGAAACCAAGGTGCTGTGAACACCCAGATTAATCTGTTACAACAGAGGACGTTGGCCTGGAAATGATACAAGATAAACGAACCTTGCCCCGTGTAGGCTTCAGCTGAGCAAATCCACAGGATAAAAGGAGTCTTTTTAATGTTTGCTTTAAAACATAACCCTTTTCCATTTTGAACTGAGGATGAACACTTCAGTTACCCTCAATAACCCACCCTCAACAGCCCAGGAATGAGCTCCACGAGCTAAGGAAGAGCTCAGCCCTCAGTAACCAGAGCTGTGCAGATGTGACAGGAGGCAGGACGTGGGCAGCTCGGAATCCCTGAGCTAAAGCAGCCTCCTGGGATGCAAGAAATCCCATAACGCTCAGAAAAGGCACCAGGAATTTTTGGCAGTTTATGCTGTGAAGATCTATACCACCAATAAACTACTCTATACATTTCCATTTGTTAGAAGCGTAATAGTTTTCTATTTATGTGTAAGTGAAAAAAACATCATCAGTAATCCTTGAGGAAAAAGAAATATAAATAATGCTACAAAATACTTAACTGATGACCAAGATCATCCTTTAATGTGAGGATAATTCCACATCTCTACATCGCTCGGAGCAAGACATTAGGAAAATGTAAATTACAGAGCTCTCTTCCTGACTGGTCTATATTTACCTTTCAGCTCCAGATTTTCCCTTAATGTCACTTCCACTAATTTAACTATTTCTCCTGAAATCTACCACAGCACACTCTTAGGAAAGAGAGCTTGTTTCCAAAAGCTCAGCACAGGTTTTGATCATATCACACCAGTACATACATGCATTCTGGAAACACAAAGCCACGAGAGCTCATCTCACCTAATTTTACAGGAAAGCCTGGTGGAAGCTTCATCTGAACAAATTCTCTAAGTTTGTTAAAGTGCTTGAAGGGTGCAATTACTTCTAGAACATTCAACAATCTGAAAAGGAAAACAGATTTCATTACAAATTCTTCTTTCGGGAGCTGTCCCCCTAGAAAAGGTAAAAATGACCCGAAGAGGAAGATGATAAAATAGGAGCTGAAAAATTACATCATGCATTATATACAACATGACATCTATCTCCTTAGAGCTTCAGTACCAGCATCATCCTCACACGCAGTTCTCAGTGCTCCATATAGTATTGATACGTGTACAAATAAGTACAAATAAATATGGAGATATTGGGGTTTTATCCTCATTTCACACAGGAGATGGAAGCCACACGCTCTTCCCCATGGGCACAAGGGACCCAACGTGGCTTTGTGAGGTTCAGGGGACGTAACTTTGTGGTAAAACTTGTTATGGGCAAAAATGTTTCAGGATTCCGTGGAATGGGGCACACAGGCCTCGGGAGAGTTAATGATAAACCCGGTGAAACCTCTGCTCTTATCAGGCAAGATAAGCACCAGGCTCTCCCAGTAACACCAGCACGGAGGGTCAGGAAGGATTCCACAGCTCCTGACCCCACCAAAACATCTTCCCCAGCGACTCCCACTTACGACTCGATTCCCAAGGGGAACTCCTGGCTCATGGCTATGGTGGCTTTGAAGGTTTTCTTGCTCTCTTTGCAGACCAGCTCCCGGCCCAGGTGAGGAGCCCTGCGAGGGACAGGGGACAAAAACAAAGTCAGCTTTTCTCTCACTGAAACCTTGGCTTTTAAGGAAGGAAGGAAGGAAGGAAAACTCAGGTTTGAAAACGGCAGTAAAGAATCCCCACAATAAAGGAAATACTTGAAAAGTAAAAGCTGTGTGGAGTAAAGGTGGGTCAGGAGCCACCACTTGGATACTGTGAGTTTTGTTCAACTGGGAGACAAGACAAAAGCAGGGAAATGGCTTAAAAATCTTCAAATAATTCCTATTATATTAATAAACACAATAAAAAGACATGCTCTGCTGTCACTGGGAGAAAATCTTGGAGAACACAGGATGGGAAGTTCTGCTGGAGGAGAGGAACAGGCAGGTAACAGGAGAACAGATCTTCTCCTCTTTGCTCTCTACTGCCTAGAAACCTCAGTTTCCCCTTCAACTCCCTCCAGTTAATCAGATTGTTAAAGGCAGCAAAAATCTTATACACACAGATATTTCTGTCCCAATAGTACCAGCTCTTCAAGCAGAACCTGCTTATTCTGCTTGAATGTTCATTCTGTCTCAAATACATTAAAAAACGAACTAATTTTAAACCCAAGCCAGCTCCATGTGCCTTTTCATAAGCCCTTACTGCAGTATCACCACATTCCCTGGTAAGATCTGACTCCAGACCAGTAGAACACCTTTGGGGAAAGGACTTTTACCACTGTTATTTATGGGACACAGGCAGTATGTGTGTTGGCCCCACGTTCAGCCAGCTGCAGGCTGGGGAAGGGCACTCAGCCACCTGCACCTCCTGCACATGGTGCTCCTGGAGATTAATTGAAATTATAGCTGTTCAGTTCCGAGTCATGCACCTGCAGGAAAGCACCTTCCAACGACCTGTGTGTCTTTGGATTCCAGTTGTGTGTGTTTTTGTACACTGCTTCTAGAGTCTCATTAAATCGTAACTTGTATTTTCAACACGGTGAATTGGATTATTCATTATTATCATAAGAAAAATGAATTACAGCAATGAGTGTCAGAAAATCTAGGTTTTATGAATTACAGCAATGAGTGTCAGAAAATCTTGGGTTTTTTTAAAAAAAGAGCCAGCTTAGACATATTTTATATTTAAATTTAAGCTGTGGGTATGAGTAGATGCCCATCCAGTACTTTTATCACCAGCTGATGCAATAAGACTGGTTACAACCACGGGTACCCACGTCCCAGCCAGTTCCTGAGGAACACTGAACACCTGAGACATCAAACCCAGCGTCCCTCTGACAGAAAACTAAACAAAAAGCACCCACAGACCAGAGAACCCCCCAAAAACAGCCCCAAACCAATAAGCTAAAGGTGTCACTAGTGTCACTGAAGCAAAGCCACTTACTTTCCATTCTCAGCAGAGATGTACTCTTCCCACGTAATGGTGTTGGGCGAGGGCGGCGTGAGCGACTGCCGTCTGACGGGCTGGGCACAAAAACAGGGTTACCTTTCTTTATATTCTCTCAGAATTTTGCCATTCAAAAGATGCAACCCTATTTCAACACTAGGAAGAACAGCAATAAAGTCCTATCCAGTTCGGAGCCGGGCTTTGCCATCTCTAGGCTCCATTTAGGTATTTGGCCTCGAATTGTATTTTACACCGAAGTTGGCTGGTTTAATAACATGGGTTAATCAGTTAATTCCAGCCTCTGAATGATAAGTAATGAAGCACAAGGCAATACAGAAATAAATTAATGGTTTTTCAAAGGCTGTACACGTGTTCCCAGCCAATGCCTGGCTCACGCTGAATAGCTCTTGATTTCATGGGGATAATCACAGGCTTAGTCTGTTATAATGAAGCTAAAGGAAAACACGATTGAATAAAAAAACAGGGAGGCATTCTAAATAATAAGAGATTTGGTCTAAAATAAGTTAAAGTGATTTGCCACAGCCAAACCCATCATCTTTTACTAAGAGGCAAATTAAAGACTGAAACATCCAATATAATCACAGAAATTCCTCAATGTGAGCACTAATCAGGGTAATTCATTAACATATCACCATGATTATACTAGTATGTCATGTTTATTGTTGGAAAATTAAGACAGTCATCATTAACATATCACCATGATTATACTAGTAGGCCCCATGTTTATTGTTGGAATAAATAAAACAAACACATTATCTACAGATTTTGCTAAATGGCTGGTGTGAAAGATTATTCTCCTACGCAGAAACTCACAGAGTGTGAAGAAACACTTAAGTTACCTCAAAATTTTGTTCCATTAAGTTGCCACCTTTACTGAGGCTCTCCATGATAGCTTTATTGCGAAGAATATCCTCCTCACTGAGATGCTCTCTTCTTTTCCTGGACTCTAATACAAGTCCATTCACCAAGTAGAAGTCTGCCAAGAAGTTTCCTACTCTTTCCTGCATGAAAGGAATTGGACGTTAGTGACTCACGGAAGATAAAAAAAAGAAGACATTTAAATTCTTGTACATCCAAATAATTGCACTTCAGTGCAATAAAATACAGTTAGGACTGAGATAATACAACTAATCACAAGAGCCCTAGGAGGAGGGGGAAGGGTTGGACCCTGAAAGAGAGGAGATGGAGCTGAGATGTGGGGAAGAACTTGTTTGGTGGGAGGGTGGTGAGAGCCTGGCCCAGGTTGGCCAGAGAAGCTGTGGCTGCCCCATCCCTGGAGGGGTTCAAGGGCAGGTTGGAGGGGGCTTGGAGCAACCTGGTGTGGTGGGAGGTGTCCCTGCCCAGGGCAGGGGGTGGAATTAAATGATCTTCAAGGCCCCTTCCCACCCAAACCATTCTGTTTCTATGACACTCCTACAATAAAGTAATTTTCAGTACAATCTTTTCTCCCCCCTGGTCAAAAAAAAAAAAAAAAAAGACATTTAAATTCTTGTACATCCAAATAATTGCACTTCAGTGCAATAAAATACAGTTAGGACTGAGATAATATGATTTACGCTGTGGCTGCCCCATCCCTGGAGGGGTTCAAGGGCAGGTTGGAGGGGGCTTGGAGCAACCTGGTGTGGTGGGAGGTGTCCCTGCCCAGGGCAGGGGGTGGAATTAAATGATCTTCAAGGCCCCTTCCCACCCAAACCATTCTGTTTCTATGACACTCCTACAATAAAGTAATTTTCAGTACAATCTTTTCTCCCCCCTGGTCAATAGCTGGAGCTTGTTATCTTTCTTCCAGGCTACTGGAATACGGTATGTACATTCAGTTCATCTACATATTCTGTGTGACATATTGGGGGAAGACATTTTTCCTCCATCCTCCTCTATTTTTCCTACATCCTGTTCTTTTACTTATTTCTCCCCGACCACATCATCCTAAGGCCACCTGAACCATTTCACCTCCAGCAGCACTGGGTCTGTGTGACCCCCTTGGAACTCACTGTTTTGTCTTCTCTAAAAAGCCACCCCGTCTGGGCCCGCGTGAAGGTGATGGATTTGGTTGATAACGTTGCCGAGTAAATATCGCTGCTCATCAAAATGTCAACCTCTTCTTCTGTTTCCATCTCAGATTCCTAGCAGAAAAATTCCCAAATACAGAAGAGGCATTAATAATAATGATTACTTCTTATGAAATAAATAAATAAATAAATAAACCTTTTCTTTTGGAACTTTTCCCAGAACGAGCATTTACTGAATTTTGAAACTGTTCTACAGAAGCTCTGGCCAAATGGTTACCAAATAGTTTAATATTAAATATTAATGCAAATAAGGCATCCAAGTGCGATTTAGCCAGCAGCCACAGCCCTCCACAGGCACAGAGCCATATGCTTCAGCGATTGGGGAATAAAGCCCTAATTAAAAGTTTTTAATTACAAGGGGTAAGGCCTAAATACGAGGGGTCCAATGAGTCACCCCATGCGTTGTTAACGACTGAAATGGCCACAGAGTGAGTAAGCGGATGCAAAGCGACGACAAGCACGTCTGAAAACCCACCCCAGGGCACTAAAATTAAGCCCACTGGGAAGATTGGAAGTAGCATGTTTCATAACTTCAAACATATTTATGTATTTGTATGTAAAATGATGAAAGATCTTCCCCAAAGATTCCCATTCTAGCTTTTTCCTCCTTTAGAAGTCCGTATTCAAAAGCACTGCTTATCATAGCAAAACCTGACGTCACCTGTACAGCTGAAGTTACAACAACCCAACAAAAATTCTCCAGTTTGTGGTTCTTTGGAGCTCATTTTGGTCTTTTTGAGAAGTACGTTTGGTTTAACACAATAAGTCAGACTTCTGATGTGAAGGAAAAGCTCGACGGGCTTCACCCCGGTCTTTACCTCGTGATGTATTCGCTGGTAAACTTTTTGTTCATTGTCTAAAACTACAAAAGATTCAGAGGGTGCGGCATCACCGTTAAAAATGAAGCTTAAATCCCCTCGTTGGCACTTCATGTCGGTAAAGTCTATGAGAGTTGTGTCCAGCCTGGGGAAAGATAGCAGTGCTTTAGCAGAAGTCACCCATAACCACTCAAACACACCAGTAAGCTCAGTGTATAAGCAGAAGCACTCATATTTTTAAAAATCACAACCAAACACACTCAGGCCTAAGTTTTCACAGAGTATTTAATTAGTGATGCCTGGATGCAGAAATTAAAAAAAAATAAGTTTAAAAAGTTTCACATTGTAACATCTCTACCATTGTAAATGCATTCCCAACTATTCTTATGCTAACTTCAAAGGAAAAGGTAAAGTTTTCTTCAGAAAAATCTATTTGGAAGCTGCCAGCATGAGGAAGTGACAGAATTTATACAGCTGGTACGTGCTACACACTGAGAAATACAACCCCTCCATGGGCTCAGCTCCCTGTTCTATTCAAGCCACTGACTTGAGTAATAATATTAGGACACGACCTAAATTATGAAGAGAACTAAGAAACAGACTAATTTTTAATTTGACTTATTTTAGTCGCTATTTCTATTTCTTCCCCTCACCAACACAAAAGAGACACTTCTGCTGACCTGGATAATGAGAAGATGGAGCCAAGGACGAAGAGCTCCTATCCCTCATTGCTACAGTATCTACTCCTTTAACAAAGGCAGTTAAAGAACCTGAATTTAGTGACCACTTCAGCTCTAAGGGGTGACTGCTTAACACTCAGCATACATCAGCCTCTGATTTCAAGAAGGAATCTGTAGCTATTTCCACAGTGCCAGCATTGTTACTCCCAGGGCACAGAGACATGAGAAGGGGAAAAAAAATAAAAATGGTCTCAGACCTCTTTGACCTAAAAAGTCAGTTCCCACCTATGCTAACAGCTTTAACAGAGCAAAATTCTCTGCAGATCAAATCTTCTGAATCATATTATTGATTTTTCGTTTGTTTTAAACTTTAGAACCTAAAGAAAACAGACAGGAAAAACATCTGAATCCCAATCTAAACCAGTTGAAGAGTTGAGCTTGGGAAGACTCCTGGAAGCACCCTTTTGAGTTTGTCAATCTGTCACATAGACCACTGTAAAAGGAGAAACTCTACCACTTTTTTTACTACATAGACTGGAGTAGCAGTATTTCCCCACAAAATAATGAGAGGTCATTTATTTGAAATTGTGTTAAAAATAACAAATTCCTATTTTTCAATTAATCATTGTCACGTCTGGGAGATACAGCCTCATACAGCTCAAGTGCTTTTGCTTTTTATTTTAGGAACTGAAGCTAAATTCACATCAATAGAGAAAAGCAGATCCTTGGTGATTTCCTTCAGACCACACCGACTCCAGCACTTTCACTGATGTGCAGATAGCCATGGCTTAGATAAAACACTGCAAAATCTGGACTTACCTGATATTTATACCTTGTTTGTGTATTTTACATGCATCAGAAGGCAGAATTCGGGAAAGTAAAGGCACTAAAGGGAGGGAGAGAGAATGCAATTAGGACACAGAGGTTCCTCTGCAAATTATTTCCATTAAAATTATCTATCAGTTTGAATCTGGATGTATTTTAACACAAATAGAGCATCCCCATTTTCCATCAGGACCTCGACACAAAGACAACTGGCCAGTACCAGGGTGTTTCCATTCAGTAACTGCAAAACTGATTTGTAATCGTGCAGACTACTTTCAGCATCAGGACATAGTTTAAAATGTCCTCAGCCACAGCTAAATCATTTATAAATTCTAATAACTCATCTTCTAGCTCTTTGAGATTTTAATCCTGTGATTTGATAGCTTATTTATACATTCTACCAACCGAAAGCCTTGCTGTAACTAAAGCACAACATCCACAAGCAGGAAAAAAATAATCCAATGTACAAAGCTTAGTCAAATCCTAGATTTGACACAGTGGAACCGCGAGTCAGTACGGAATTAAGAGATGGAGATGCAATGTCTTATCGACCAGCCAGAGACACTTCAATGTTTCCCTCTTGCAATAATCAATTTCTTAAAGTAAACAACAGCTTGTTCCTAACCCCCTCCATATTGTGTCACTGGATTACAGAAGGGAATTCAGCTCCAAAAATTAATAAGCAAAAATAACTCAGCAAAAAAGTTGCCTGTCCTTTCTTTATAACTTGGATCTTGAGAACTGGGTTGTGAACCTTCCAACACACAACCCTGAGGAGGATTTAAGCTCGAGAGAAGGAGCGTGCTGGAGACTGATACATTATCTGCCTGTGGAAGGAACACGCAGTCACTTACCCCAACTTTGAAAATCCCAGTGAAGCTCTAGATAGAAGTCACCTAGCTGGGATGAAAGGAAGAATACATTAACAAGCTTTTTAGTTTAAATGACAACTGTAAAATTTGCTGACAGACAGGCAGAAGCTGTGTTTTGCCAAACAAAGAAAACTTTTTCTCTACTGTTAGTATCTGAATTTATACTCAACTTAAACGTTGCTGAAGCTTTAACTAGAGTAGAATCAATAACGATAATTTTATGTAATTCGTTTGAACTGTTTTTAATCATTTTTAAAAATAGTAACTTACACAGCTATTAAGCTGTGGATTGTAAAAGATTTATTGTAAATATGTGCTTATAAAAGATCTATAGATCTCTTCGCTTGCTTTGACCGATCACATCCAACCCCATGGAACTCCATGTCCTGGCTTAAATTAATGAGTCAAGATTCAGCAAGAAACCTACACAAATTTCAATTTGCCCTCTGAAAATACGCTTACGTGATTATACAACAATTCCTCTACCTCCACAAACACATGCCAGCCAAGTCCTTTACGCTGCATGCAAAGCCAGGAGTGACTTGCTTAAAATTAGCAAGCGTTAAATAAACCCCTGTGCTTTATAACCGTTGTTTTAGCACGTGAGCAGCAGTTTGAAACAGAGGAAACTGAGCTTTTCCTCCTGGTTTCCCTAAACTTAGGAATGTGCTCGAGAATTGGCTGCTGGGGGTAGATGGAGAGTTAAACCAGAATTCTCTTTCATTGCTAAGCAAGAAAAGAAAGTGTCACTCACGATTAGCGACTAAACAAAATTAGCAAGAAAAGAAAGTGTCACTCACGATTAGTAACCGGTAAATTATTCACCAAAACAAAATATTTAAGAAAACCTTAAAAATCTAATGAAATATACAGATTAAAACTGTAAGTTTTAGATTGTAAAGAAGACTAGCAGCCCTGTCTTACACAAACCTTTCTATCTGAACTTCTGGAAGCTGAGAAGAAAGCATTATCTTAGAAATACCCGTAACTCTGTGACCCCTTAAAACAGACACTGTGAGCCAAGACTGCTGTTAAGAGCAAAAGAGATCTGTAAAAGCAAGTATAAACCTTGTTTACAGTTTGCCAGAGCATCCATACTAAGAAGAGAAGCCACTGCCTCCCAGCACCAGCTGTTTTTGTCAACACAACTACCTTGAACTTACCTCTTTCAGGGCTTTTAATAATCGAGGTCTCTTTTCTTCAACACTTTCCCTGGACTGCTGTTTGAGCTTCCTTAGGAGTGCTGTAACTGAACAGAAATTAAGTGTAAGGTCAATCTATTCTGTTTGCTCGTTAATTACAGGTCAGTGTCAGTATTTGATGTCTCAAAAAAAGACCAAACAATGCAAATGTAACATTTCTTAGACTCTGGAGAAATTCACTTCAAGGTACAGTGATTGTACATAGCCTACTGTAGTCACCACAGGAAGAAAAGCTTCAATGATTGTTTATAATATAAAGTATACAATCATGTCAGGAGGTCTTTTACACGTGTACTAGTAAACATGTGGGGGGACAGGTATATTATTGAACACAAGCGTAATGCCTACTCCCACTGAGAAAATTCTTTAGTAGTGAGCAGATGATGAACAGAGTGTTGTTAGGATATCACAAACTAGTGCATTAATACATTAATTATATATTAACGTATATATAAAATATCTTGAGTTTTCTGCTATGGGACATGGTAATACCAAATACTACCAACATCCACTAGTGAATAGCAGTAATTTTCCCTTTACTATATTTGCCTACTGGCCTGTTGAGATGCAACAGAAAAGCACCATCCCACTGACAACTGATACACTAAATATATGTAAGACCACAGGGAGTAATTCCAATTAGATGACCCTCTATAGCTAAAACCCACTCCCAGCTTGTAACTCCGATTTTAAACACAGAATGCTACCATACAAGCTTTTACAATCACTTTAAGCAAAGCCTTAACTCTACTCAGCATTATATATCCTAATGCAATTTCTTTTTCAGCAAGGAAATGGACGTGTAGAGCTTGTTGTATCATCTTAGATATAAACATTTCAGCTGATTAAAACAAAGTCTTCAGAGAACTAAAATCGGAGTATTATAAAAAAAACCTAGCTTGAAAACTTTTGTTTTCCTGTTCTGAATGAGGCCTCACTTTCTGATTAATGGGGAAGCAGAGGTTCTTACTCATTTGTCTGTCTCCATAGCTGATGGCTTCTGCAAGAGGGCTCCATCCCTGAGCATTTTTCACCTTTACTGGAGCATTATGGGCTAAAAGCAAGTGGGCACATTCTGTAACAGAACAGTCATCATTAGCTGAAGTAAACATCAAGGATGTAGTAATAGAATTCATAACAAAGGAAACAATAAGAAAGGAAAAGTAGTTGATAATTAATATATTAAACAGTTTATCAAAATACATATATGACTTAAAATCTAAACACACAAAAAACATTTATGTAAATCTTTATAGCACTTCCCTGTTCAATGTCAGCACTAAAAACGTAACTGGTGATCAACCAATGCACATAGAAAGGTACATGGCAGTATAGACTCCAGGCATCTCGAGAACATCGTGTGTATGGGGGGCAGAAGTTGTGGCACTAACATCCCTACGTGCTGCAGCATCTCGTGGTGAGATGGCATCTAAAGTGGGCAAAGCAGCACACTCTGACCTAGGAAACCTCTGAATACACCAACAAACAGCTGTACAGCAAGAACAGGGGTTGTAGGACGAACAAGTCATGACAGGAAAGACACTGAGGGGCTGGAGCATATCCAGAGAAGGGCAACGGAGCTGGTGAGGGGTCTGGAGCACAAGTCTTGTGAGGAGAGGCTGAGGGAGCTGGGGGTGTTCAGTCTGGAGAAAAGGAGGCTGAGGGAAGACCTTCTGGCTCTCTCCAGCTCCCTGAAAGGAGGGGGTAGCCAGGGGGGGTCGGTCTCTTCTCCCAAGGAACAGGCCATGGGACAAGAGGAAATGGCCTCAAGTTGCCCCAGGGGAGGTTTAGGATGAAGATTATGAAAAATTTCTTCCTGGAAAGGGCTGTGAAGCCTTGGAATGGGCTGCCCAGGGCAGTGGTGGAGTTGCCATCCCTGGAGGGATTTCAAAGCCGGGCAGAGGTGGTGCTGAGGGACATGGGTCAGTGGGGGTTTGGGCAGTGCTGGGTTGGTGGTTGGACTGGATGGTCTGGAAGGTCCCTTCCAACCCAGACCATTCTATGATTCTATGATATGTGGAGAACACCATCCCTGGGGGGATTTCAAAGCCGGGCAGAGGTGGTGCTGAGGGACATGGGTCAGTGGGGGTTTGGGCAGTGCTGGGTTGGTGGTTGGACTGGATGGTCTGGAAGGTCTCTTCCAACCCAGACCATTCCATGGTTCTATGATATGTGGAGAATTGATAGCAGAGCACACAACTCATGGTCCTGTGCTCCTCTGGCAACACGCTACATTTTTCACTGAGAGCATCAGTAAGAGCGTGTGTCACTGCGGCCCCCAACACTGGGTGTGCACACACTGTGCTGATACAGCACCACCACCACCTCAAAGCCACACAGTTCTCAGCCAAGACAGCTCAACCTGCCCTCCCTTCTCTGCCTGCGGCTACAAGGTGACGACAGAATGACGAATGAGTCCTTAAAATTAATGAGAGAAGCTAGCGTGCCGTGTTTCCACGCTTCGGATGAGCTGCCCTCACTTGAAACTGTTCTTCAGTTTCCAACTATGGAAAGTTTCCTCTCCACATCTCATTAGAACCCACCAGCCCCATCGCAGCACCAGGCTGGAGTTGTGGGCATGTCTCCTTATGAATAGGATGGGCAGGAACGAGGGACAGAGGCACTTCCCCAATTATTCTCCGGCTGTAGGTGTTACAGGAAACCACACCAGTCCTTCCAGATGCAACAACCGTGAGTCACTGGCAAGCACAGGGCTCGGAAAGGAAGAGATACTTCACCGGTGAATATACTATCTTTTGTGGTAAATAAACAAAAGCCCCGAGTGCTTTGCCAGCAAACAGAGAGAGGTATTTTTATGGCTGCTTAAATATAGTGCCTAACGCGCTAACCAGGCCGCACGGCGAGCAGGCAAATCAGCTCCCGTTTCCCAGCCAGGTTATGTTTCCAGTTAAACAAACAGGATGGAAATTCACCCTTTGCTTCAGCAAAGCCTGGCTGCCACGCTGCTGTATCCAGCCAAATGCTCTGCAGGCATCACCCAGAAAGACAGAAAAATGACCTTTTGGTATCAAAAAGAGGGACTAACGAGTTAGGAAAGGACCTGGGGCTCTCACTGGATCAACACCAAAGTGACACCAAGAACATGCACCCAGGAGAAAAGGAGCAGAGGGAAGGAACACCTCTCCTTGCTATGCTATACATGAGGGGAACTCATCCTGGGAATCTGCCAGCACTAACTGCTTTTTATCCTAGAGCTGAAACATAAAATCACATTTTAAGAGAGGCTTGGAATAAATACTCAACCGTACTGAATTAAAGTTGGTAAACTCTCTTCTAGCAGTTTTGATAGCAGAAGCATCTTTGATCAAAGTTGTCTGTATTTATTCATGTGGTGTCATACTGCTGTAGCTGTATGGAAAGCATCCCTTCATGACAGCTAATCACCTTGTAACCAAAACCACACAACCCCTTCTGCACCCAATGGGGCAAAACTTCTCGACACGAACTACTGACCATGATAAACTACAGCTTGAAACAAACACTGCAACAAGTGCACTTACACAGCAGATCACCAGTGCCTAAAAACACACAGCAAGTAATTACAAAACAAAAAACTATCCCACAAAGAAATGTCTTATTTAAGACTCCGAAATTACAGAAAGGCTTCTGCCTCTGTTTTCCTTCTGGGGTTCCAGGCCTCTAGTCTGGGGCCCTTGCTGGAAAAGAGTGGTTCTGATAAAGTGCCATTTCTTGCCAGTTGAAAAAACCCCTCCTATCTGTGACTTCTAGCAGGCACCTGTAAAACATATTTGCCCCACTGCTACCTCAGATTTTCCATATCTTCTTTTTCTTTCTTTTTTTTTAATTTAAGAAGTATCAATCCTGGCCGACCCCAGCAAGCTCTACCACTTCCTCTTCTGCATAAGCTGCCTCTCTCCCCTCTTCCTCGTTCCAAATTGCTTCCTGCTCCAACTCCCAATTATCTCAGATCATTTCAGAGGTATTACCAAAGCGTCCCAAGACAACTGATTGCATTTCCTGCGTTCCCCTTGCCAGATCTGCCAGATGATTCAGCCAACAGTGCTCCCCTGGAGCAGCACCAGGCACAGGACCCACGTGGCTGAACCAGCCCAAGTTGCTGGTGAATTTTACTGTGGCAGCGACCGAACAATCATGCTCCAGGTCTCTTCCCAGTCTTGAAATGTGCCTATTTCCATACTCTCTGTTTGAAGTAGAAAAGAAATATAAATCCTGCACCTTGAAAAACCTTTAAAAAGGGGGGCAAGGCTCAAAAAGGAAAGAGAAGAGCCATCGTGAGCCGAGAGGCTGCAGAGTCCTGCAGGTGTCCCAGCCTGGACACAGAGGAAACAGCCCAGCAGCCAGGCAGAAATGGGGGAAGGAGGAGGCAAAAAGCAGGTGAGCAGTTATGTTTCCACTCACAGGAGCCATTTTATTCTAGAGGATGTTCTTCTGATTCACTTTGCTGGGAAAAGCTCAACATGGGTTGTTCAACACCACCAGTAAGCAGATCAGCAGCAGAGACACCAATAACCAGAAAAGTGTTGGCAAAGAGGAAGGGCATCGTCAAACAGAAATTGGTGACCCTTCTGTACCATGAATTAATTGCACATCAGAATAGCTCACATTCCCTGCCTACACATACTCAGTGTCCCTCTGCTCCAGCTGCTTGGACACGAGCGATGCAGGTGTGACCACTTGTGACTCTACTGTTCCAGTTCTACTTCAATCTTCTGTGATATTCCAAGTTTCCCAATTCCCTTCTAACTCCACAAAAAGAGAGGAACTGGGTCCACCCACTGTTTTTGTCCTAAGCTCAAAGACTCCAACTGCTACAGCTCCCTCCCACCCTGCCCCACTCACTTCCAGCTCCTTGATTTTAGCCCAAAACAGCTCCCGTTTCTTCTCCAACTCTTCTCTTCTAAACCCGTGTGGTACCTTCTTTCCAGAAAAGCTCAGCTTTGAAACAGCTTCAAACACAAGATCACGCTCAGGAAAAATGAAAAAAATCTTGTTTTCCTCTCACCCCTAAGCCTTCAGGATAACTTAAGAGTTAATAAAATTGATG